AAATAAATATTTGCAAACACATACAAAGCGTAATGGAATATATAATACACTTTTTTGTTAAATTTTATATATTTTCAGAACACTAAGACATAAAAATTAAATTAAAAACATACAAAACCCTTTTTGTGAGAAGATTTTGGGGGAGTTAATTTATCTCCAAGGAAAAGATATACACCAATGATTATTTCAACCCCAAAACTTTCCATCTTGGAAAGGGTGGTTAGCAGCATCTGAGGAACAGGAAAGGGTGAAGAATGCACTTGGTCTTAGTGAAACAAGCGCCAGCCGTTGGTCAAGACGGTGGGATTTCAGGGGCTTGCACTCTGATGGCTGACACCAGTCTGCTCAGTCGGAAAGCGCAGTGTTCTGATTCTGCGGCCTTTGCTGTAGTCGCTACAATGCCCGAGATCGCTAACGTGGCAACACTAAGTTACAGAGTGGGATAAATCTGCTTGAGTGGTATTTAACCTATTCAAAGCAAAATAAATACAAATCAAGCAAGGCCTGCTGCAATGAACTTCTTACCAAGGAAAAACGACCATTTCTTTATAGCAAACAATGCCCAAAGCTTCTTCAGAACAAATACCGATCACGTTAAGTCCACACACTTTCACCCCTTCCCTTTCCTGACAGAACCGGGCCAGCACCACTTCCTTCCCTCTGAGGAGACAGCCTCACCGCTGGGAGCTGCCATCACAACCAGAGTGGCCTGCACGGCAGCCGCTGACACAGGAAAGCGCCCTCCCGCTTCCGAGGGGGGCTCTCTCTCCCTCGAGAAGGGTGAGAGAAACAGGTCCATAGCAGCAGGAGGGACCTAGACATTCCACAGGGAGGTGAGCCAGGATCCCTAAAGAATTTACCATTGCGAAGTATCAAGCCCATGTTCTCTAACATTAAAAAGAAAGTATTTTTAATTATGAAAAAGTTCCGATAAACGTAAAGATGGATACACCAGGCCATTCCTGTGACAGACACGTGGAGTCCGTCCCTCTAAACCCTCTGCCTACACCTTCCGTTCTCCTCTGGATCCCTCACATCCCATCACCTACAAAACCGAGCTCCTCACTGAGATTCACCTTCAGGTGAACTCAACCGTCCAGGGGTGGCGTCCTCTTCCCCCAGGCGCCTCACGTCCGCCGAGTCCCCGCTTTCCTTACTGAGGGGGGTGACGGCCCCGTGGCGTCCCTCAGGGCCCCCGTCTCCTCTCTGAGCATCCTCAGGGGGGCCGCGCCCCGGAGCGTCCTCGGCAGCAGGTGTGTTCCTCAGGGAAGGTGCGTAGGACCCCACACTCGCAGGGGCACGAAGCCTGGGGCTGGGCTGGGCAGTGGCACTGGTAGCGGGCACTGAGCTGGGGTCCTTGCCCAGGCAGGAAAAGTCGGACATGCCCAGGATGCTGGCTCGCTCCCACCTGGAGAGCCCGGCTCTGCAGGGGGGGTGGGCGGGGCCGAGAGGTGACTGCAGCCCTGGAGGGAGAGGCCCCGTGCTCCTCTCCCGGAGGTTGTCAGGTGAGAAGTAGTCCTCATAGGAGGACGTGTCCCCCGCAGGAGTCGCCAGGGCAGGGCTGGCAGGGGCCTGACCCCCGGGAGAGGGGAACAGCCGCGCGGCAGACTTCCCGCTGCTCTTGGGCTTCTTCGGCCGCCCCTCTGGGGGCGAGTGGGCGTGCTCCGACGGGCGCTTCCTCTTCGCCGAGGAGCTCCTGGGTGCGTGTCCCAGGTGGTGGCCTTTAGTTACCGACGGCTGCTGGTCAGGGGTGGCCGCTGCGCCTGCAGGGTCCCTCTGCCAACCCGCGTCCTCCTCCGCACGGTGGTGCTCAGACGTCCGAGGCCCTAGGCGGCTGAGGTACCTGGGAGATACCGGTGAGTGAATGCGGCTCGTTTCCAATGCCGGTGACGAAGCACACACGTGGCTTCCAGCATCATTGGCGGCGGGTCCTCCCAATCTCCTCTCCCGGTCCCCATGCCCCGAGTCTCCATAAGGATCATCAAACGGTGACTGCAGACTGCCAGCCAAGGAGTCCTCTGGAAGACAGGAGAGTCACTTTAAGGAAGGTCTGGATCCCCGCGGCACACGAGGTCTCTCACAGCGACACCTTCCCAGCACTGTGCTCAGGTCAGGAGCCCCCCTCCCCCCAGCCTGTTGGTAATGCCATGCCAGGTAGGTGTGGCGGGACCCACACATTCACACACTCTCTGCACCCACAGCACAGGCTGCGAAGCCTCCTTCCACAGCTCCTACTGTTCTCTGTACTGGACACTTGAATTGCAAGCAGTTAGTTCAGGAGAGATTTTAATTGTTTTTTAATGATCAAGTGTTTCTGTGCCAAGAAAGAAAATGCCTAAGAGAAAAACCACAGGAACCAAAATGAGTCATGTGCTTATTGCAATTCCTAATTTCAGGGAGAATTCAGAAATTCTAGTTTTAACTAGTCTTCTCATCAAATAAAATTCCAAATAAGAGAAAACTAATTATCACAGAAAATGATTTACCTGAACACAAAGTGTCCTGTGAAATATCCAAAGACGTTTCACACGAGGTGAGAACTGGGTTATCATAAGACATTTCAATCATCTGGGAAGCTGGAAACATAATAAAAACATCAGATATAATTCTGTTATTTTTTCAGATGCAGCCAACAGAAAGCCCACACTTTCTGCTCTTAACCCTGGAGAATACTAACTAGACACCCAATACAGGCTTAAAATACAGGTGTTCCAAAAACATGTATACATACTTTGAATAATTATTAATTCCAATTTCTTTTCTGAAAAGAAAGAAACATCAATTGAGCTACTGAAAAATGTCTGTGCATACATTTTGGGGAAATTATATTAATGAAGCATGGGGAATTTCTGGAAGAAAATTTAGTCTACCCTGAGATAGATTAAAATCTGTTAGGCCGAAACCAGTTTGGCTCAGTGGTAAAGTGTCGGTCTGCGGACTGAAAGGTCCCAGGTTCGATTCCGGTCAAGGGCATGTACATTGGTTGCGGGCACATCCCTGGTAGGGGGTGTGCAAGAGGCAGCTGGTCGATGTTTCTCTCTCATCGATGTTTCTAGCTCTCTGTCCCTCTCTCCTCCTCTCTGTAAAAAATCAATAAAATATATTTAAAAAAAAAATCTATTAGAACCGAGCAACTTTAACTAAAATATCTAGATAAAGAAAAAACAACCCTTCCCACAATTTACGCAGTGTTCATTTCACCCAACGGGAGCACTTACAGGTCGGGGACAGGTTTGCCCGCTTCTCCTTCATCTCCTGCAGCCTCTGCTCCATGGCGCTGAGCCGACCTCTGTGTGCCGTCACCGTGGGGCTGTACACCAAGGCACCGCTGGACTCAAATAGGAGGACAGGCACGTCGTTATCTGAAACAAGGAAAAGCAGTTGCTTGTTTGTGCCCATGGTGTGCAGATTGGTCTGAAACACTGAATTCAGAGGACAGGTGACCCAGGCAGAAATACCCAAAACATAAAAAGTACTTCAATGTTTCATGACATTACAAAGTATTTGTCCAAATCATTAAAAGAATATATCTAGTGAAATGAATGGGCAGAGGTGTCCAGCCGGCGTGGCTCAGTGGTTGAGAGTTGACCTATGAACTTGGAAACTAGCTGAGGGCGCATCTCCAAAGCACCTGGTGGTGGAGGTTCAGGAGGTGCACCGATACCAATCCACCAGGCCGTCCGCCTGGAACCAAGGTCCTGTTGGACTCAGTGACAGCTCCATCCACAGAACTGTCCGGGCCGATGAGCTCAGCAGCACGGTCTGTGATGGCCACTACCAAGTCGCAGGGGACTTTATTCTGTTTTCTCTTCCTGGGCTACAGCCGCTGCAGGCCCCCTTGCAAGCAGACAAAGGAGGTGCCATATTTCTTTGCTTACCTAATGTTGTTTTTTGCTTTTGTAGCTCATTGGCCATTTTCTCAAATTTCTTTTGAAGTCGCTTATCATTTTCTGGTGTTTTAGGAGTAAAATCTTTGGGCTGCATACACCTATGCTGTGTAAAAAAGAACACAGACATGAACTCTCAGTGCAGGCCATGTCTGTTCTGGGTTTCTCTAATCACAGTAATAATAAAACCCTAAGGAGGCATTTTTGCACTACGTGTGAGTTTGTTCGATTGTAAACTAATAAGGGCCCTGGCCTGGCGGCTCAGTCAGCTGGAGCATCAACCTGCACACCGAAGGGCCCAGGTCAGTGCCGGTCGGCACACATCCAGGTGTGGGCTGAGGCAATCGATCCACGGAGTCTCTCTCACGTCAGTGTTTGTGGTCCTCCCTCTCCCTTACTCTCCAAGAAGCCAATACCATATGCTCAGGTGAGGATTTAAAAACACAATACGTAACTAGGGCTGGCTGTTCCAGTAGCTCTGCCTCTGAGGCATTTTCAGTATCCCTGCATTCGTAGTTTCCTTGAAAATAGTCTCTTCTTATTTTTGCTACTCTCATTACATTATGACTATCACGATAACATAGTAGTAAAACACAAAAGCAATTATTTTTTAACTGCCCAAGGAAAAAACATTATGTAATCTTATCTTTAAATCACAGTAACCCCGTTCAGCCAGTAAAAACCAGGAAGTATAACTACACATACACACGGTGACAGATCAGGAAACGTGGGCCTGCGAAGCCGGGAAGCAGCGTCCCGGCACAGCTCTTGGTAAGAAACCGCTGCTCCCGGCTCTGCACTGGAGTGGCGGTGTCCAGCCGCTCTGACCGCCGGCATCTAACTGGACCCACCCTCCTCTGCTGTGGCCACGGGGTGCCGGACTGCGTACTGGCCTCCTGGCGACCTGGTTTTCTCTTGGATGACGAAGTGCCCGTTTCTCACAGATCCCTCGAAGCACCCAGAGGGCAAAGTTCACTGCTCACCCACTAAGGACGCTGTGACAGCGACAACATCAACGGTGACACTGAAGGCAGTGCCTGATCCACTGCTGAAAGCTTTCTTTCCCAGGAATAAAGCAAAAGAATGAATAAATGAGTAACTGTCCACTCGGGGTCAGGTACTTACCTTTTTTTTAACAAGGCAGGGCAGGCGTTCGTGAGTGTTTGCCGCCGGGAACAGGGCCTCGTCGACGTGCGCCCCCGCCGTTCTGCACCTGCGTGAGGAGACAAGTCCTCAGTGAGCACCTGTGCTAGACGGGCATGGTGACCCCGGGCATGGTGTGAGGGGCACGTGTCAGTGTGACGGAGGACGCCCACGCACGGCCACTGTTACAGACGTGTCTATGAAGTAAGTACCCACATTCAAGTACGGTCAGTGCACTTCCCACTCTCCAGTCTCCTCCCTGGTGTTCCTGAGGCAGCACGTGCAGGAAGCATTCCTTGGCGATAGTCTTAGACGTGGGACCCATTCCAGAATGACCATGACCTTAGACGTGGGACCCATTCCAGAATGACCATGACCTTAGACGTGGGACACATTCCAGAATGACCATGACGGAGCTCAGGAAGATGTGAGTATGTGCCATTAAGTGCCCCATGTGAATGGAGGTAAAGGAGTACGTTAGAGCCAGAGGGTGCCGAAGAAGTGGAGGGCAGAAAGTGTATCTTTCCTCGGAGCCAGTTCTCTGTTCTGTGTGTTTCTCTCGGACCCTGTCGGCCAGCCGGGCTGTGGAATGGGAGGCACCGCCGAGCAGCGGGTGGCAGACTTCTTTCCAAAACAGACAGTAAGCGAGGCGGGTGACAGGACCCCCACTCTGCAGACGGCACCAGAGCTGGGATCTCACACGGCGTCCACACCCCACAGGCTGTGGCTCCAAGGGCCTGGCTGGCAATGCCCTCCAGTGAACATCACCTGATCAGTATTGTGACCTTTCACCTGGCTGACCCCGATTCTGTGGACAGCAGGCCTGTCTTCTCCACAAACCTGTGCTGAGACAGGGAACGCCTCTAACTTTGAGCCTGATGACCTCATGGGTAACCAGAGATGGATGTGCATTGCTCGCCTGTTTTTAACTAATACAGCGACACCAAACATTGCTGCTAGCAGAACCAGCTAGCAGCAGGTGCTTTAGAAGCACAGGCCTTGTACACACAGCTGTTCACTGCAGAACAGGCTCAGCAAACTTCAATGATGGGATTCTAGCGACACCTAGTGATTCTTCGTAGGTACTGCTCACATTTCCAGAAGAAAACAGGAGCAACAGCCTGGACAGCCCCTAACAAAGCAGACATAGAACCTGAAATAAAGGTCCCTTTGGGGACACCTCTAAGTTATGTTGAAGAAAGTTCGAGTGCACTAAAAATAAGGAAACACATGACACCAAGTTTATGTCCTCACCAACAAAGTGGGGAAGATGAGAGGGCGCAGTATGAGGGTGTGGTGTGAGGATATGTTGTGAGGGTGTGGTGTGAGGACGCGGTGTGAGGATGCTGTGTGAGGGTGCGGTGTGAGGGCGCGGTGTGAAGGCGCGGTGTGAAGGCGCGGTGTGAAGGCGTGGTATGAGGATGTGGTGTGAGGATATGGTGCGAAGGCACGGTGTGAGGGTGCGGTGTGAGGGTGTGGTGCGAAGGCATGGTGTGAGGATGTGGTGTGAGGATATGGTATGAGGGTGTGGTGTGAGGATGTGGTGTGAGGATGTGGTGTGAGGGTGTGGTGTGAGGGTGTGGAGTAAGGATACAGTGTGAACTGAAACCGGTTTGCGTGTTAGAGCGTCGGTCTGCGGACTGAAAGGTCCCAGGTTCGATTATGGTCAAGGGCATGTACATTGGTTGGGGGCACGTCCCGGTGGGGGGGGGTGCAGGAGGCAACTGGTCGATGTTTCTCTCTCATCGACGTTTCTAGCTCCCTATCTCTCTCCCTTCCTCCTCTCTGTAAGATATCAATAAAATATATTTTTAAAAAATGATACTAAAAAAAAGGATACAGTGTGAGGACGAGGTGTGAAGAAGGCTGTGGGACAGGGCCTTCACTGCTGGGGGAGCAGGGAACAGGCACTTCTCCAGGAGATAATCTGATGGCATCCGCCGCACACAGCATGCGAGCCCTCAAGCCCAGAAGGCCCCTGGGCTGTAACCACGGGAAGCTGTGTCATGCAGGCAGTGCCTCCACGCCCTCCAGTAGTCACTGGGCACCTACGATGGGCCAGGTGCTGAGGCCTCCGTGGATGCACTTTACATGGAACAGAAAGACCACAGCCCCTGGTGACCGGACAGGTGGGTGACAAGACAGAGCAGAGCGGGCTCTAACAGCACAAAAAGGGACCAGAATGACCGGGGCCTCCTACAGACGGCGACACAGGACACTTCAGGGCAGGGAGCCCTTCCACTGTGACAGGGAGGAGGAGCTGAGCGCAAACAGGGGAGAGCGGGGCGAGGAGGCAGCATACAGGAATCCTGGGTCTGTAACGCGCAGTGGCCAAAACTCAGCCCAAAGCTACATCGTTTGGAGCCAAGAAAACGCAACAGTCTCCAGAGAAAACCCACCGGCAGATGCCAGCCCTGCTGGCTGGAATCATGGAAGAAGCACTCACAGGACGGCTACAATTACACTCTGTACAGAAATGCTCCTGTAGTGACAGGCAGGGAGAGCAAAGACAGACATCTCAGCGGAGAAGCAACACACGCATATGTGAAAAGGAACCAGTGGGCCCTGGCCGGTAGCTCAGTTGGTTAGGGTTGTCCTGCCACGCCACGGTCAGGGGTGTGGTCCCCAGTCAGGGCACATTCAAAATCAACCAAGGAGTTTGTGAATAAGGGGGATGGCAGATCGCCGTTTCTCCCTTCCTCTCTCAAATCAATAAAAACAAAAATAAAAATAAAGCCAAAGAACTGTTACAACTAATATTGCCCAAAATAATGTACTAAATGGACACAATGATAAAACGGATTTGACAGAGAAGAGCAGTGAACGTGAAGATCAATTTGGCGAGGAAATAAAAACTGAAAAATAATGAAGAAAGCCAGGCCTCAGGGACAGTGAGAAGATGTCAAAGGTCAAAGGCTGCTGACATAGGAGGGCCCAAGCCACCCCTGACCACCATCACACCCACCTCTGCTGCTTCTCCCGCAGAGCTGAGCTGCTCAAGGAAGACCAAGGCTCTGTCCAAGTTCTAGTGAGAGAGGGTCAAGGGGCAGAAAAGTCGCGTGAAGAAACAGACAAAACCGAGTAGTTCATACATTCAAACACCCCGGCGGCATCCACACAAGACAAGTGGGAAAGCATGCAGGGAAACTTCTGAAAACCCAAGTGAAGAAGAAAGATTGAGAGAAGCCAGAGGAAAGGGCATGTGACCAGGTGCCTCCCGAGCCCCCGAGGACAGCAAGACCTGCTGGATACAAACCACTGTCCACCTGGCATTGCATGTCCATGCAAACTGTATTCACAGATGCACCAGGAATAAGGACATTGTCAGACAAGAAAACTAAGAAAATGTGTTGTCATCTCTTTAAAGAAATGCTACACGGACAGAACCGAAGTGAGAAATCAGCAATTGAACAATGACATTTGGAGACGTCAATAGGCCATTTAATGGTAGACAGATCAAGAAGAGGACATGAGACTTAAAAAAAGTATGAACCAACTACTTTGACCTGTCAGGAAGGCACATACAAAAGATCCCTTCCACAGCCACAGAACACACACTCTCCCGCACACATGCAATATTCTCCCAGGAGACCAATGTGAGGGTATAGAACAAGTCTGGCTACCTGAGGAAACTGAAATAATAGAAACACATCCTCTGACGACAACAGAATAAAGTGAGGTATCAAAAATAGAATGACGTTTGGAAAACTCAAAATATGTGGAAATTAAACAAAAAATTCCTAAATAACCTATGGGTAAAATAAACTGCAAAAAAAATTAGAAAATATTTTAAAGTAAATGACAATCCCTCAACCCAGCTAAGACCTACCACCTCCCTTCAGCAAGCCTGGCGCTGGCCGGTCCTTCCTTATCACTGCTTTGCCCTTCCCTCCACTCCCTCAGTGGAGGCCGCTGGCAAAACCCCACCCTGATTAATGCTTTCTGCCTCCTTCCAGCTGGGGGCTGCTCCCCTGGCCTCACCTTCAACTTACAACCACCCTCCTCAAGGGAGCCAACTCTCCTTTGCTGCCGCTGGTGCACGCCCGCCTCCAGCCTGGCTCACTCAGTGCCTCCACCCCTCCCTGCTCCTACCCTGGCCTTGGTCCCACACCTGATCCTCCTTCCATGCTTTTCACCTCAACACTCGCATCAAGGGCTCAACTGAGCCCCAGAAAATTCATAAGCCCTGATCCCCAGAACCTCAGAACATGACTGTATTTGGAGAGGAGCTTTCAAAGACCTAATTAAGGTTAAATGAAGTTCTACCAGTGGGCCCTAATCCAATGGGACTAATCTATATATACTAGAGGCCCAGTGCACGAAATTTGTACACAGTAGGGTCCCTAGGCCTGGCTGGTGATCAGGGCCTATTTGTGGGCAAATGGTGGGTTGGTCAGGGCCCCTCCTCCCCCCACTTGCACCTGACCCTGCTGCTGCCATTGTCAGGGCCTGTGTGCTGGGGGCAGCTGCTGTGTTAAGCATCTGCACCCTAGTGGTCAGTTACATCATAGCGACCAGTCATTCTGCTGTTCAGTCCATTTGCATATTAGGTTGTTCTGCTGTTCAGTTGATTTGCATATTAGGGTTTTATACAAATAGATAAAAGGCTAATATGCTAAGTGTCCATCCGACTGGTAGCTATGATGTTCACTGACCACCAGGGAGCAGATGCTCAAAGCAGAAACTGCCGAGCTACAGTGACTTGGCAGTGGCAGTTCTCAGGTGACGCATCCCAAAACCAGAGAGGAGGAAGCCTGATTCCTCAGACGGGATGATTTGATTCCATTTTTGGCCATGAATTATGTGTTGCTGGGGCACTGTCGGCCCCAAATCTGGTTTACTGCACACTTGCATTTGTGTTCCACACGCTGTATGATAGCAACTTTGCCGAATGCCCTCTCGTACTCCGGGACCCCTCAGGGTATGCCAGAGAACTGGATTTGGCCTGATCCCCACCGGCCAGGCCCAGGGACTCCATCTGCAGGAGGGAGCCCGCCTCACTCCTCAGATGCTGGGGCAGGACCACGGGAGGTTAGCTCCAGGGCGTGTCTGGCCCTTCTCGCCAGTCACCTTCTAATTAATTTCCTTTCAATGTGCACGAATCAATGCTCCAGGTCACTAGTGTCTTTGTAAGAAGAGATGAGAACACAGACACTCAGGCACAGCCATCTGTAAACCCAGCAGAGAGGCCTCAGAAGAAACCTGCCTTGCCAGTACCTAACCCTGAACACCAGCCCCCAGAACAGTGAGAATTACAGGTCTGTGTTCCAGTCCATGGAAGGTTGTTATGGCCACCCAGGTGGCAGCTGGTACAATCACTTCATGACATCTGCTCCCTTATTGTTTCCTGAGCCCTCGAAGCACAAGCTCCTGGCTGTGTGCTCCTTCCCCTCTGGGAGACAGTGGAGGGCTGGGGGAAGGGGGAAGCTATAACCACTCTCCAACTTGGAAACTGAGGCTGGAGGGAGGATGTCTAGCACTCAAGCACTCCTTGGTTCTGTGATCTATGGGAAATGCACTGCTCTGCTTACTAAACTAGCTCCTCAAGGGAAGAAAGGACTTACTTTTCGACCCAGAGCACAGAGACGAGCTTGACGCCTCTCTCTCGGGCTTTGTCCCAGGTGCGTGGGTATCCGTCTTTGAACACGACGTGAGTTACGTGCTTGTTAAAAGTTTTTGAGACCTGCAGATAGAGTGCAGGAAAAAAAGTTACATTACTATTTGCACATAATTTCATAAAGTGAGTATAAGCGAGTGCCATTCATGGAGACAGATGCAAAATAAGCAACAAAACAGCAAACTGGTGGGTAATACTCGCGGGCAAAAGTAGGTTTACTATTATTCACATAAAAAACAGTACAGGAATTAACAAATAACAATGCGAGAATAAACTGTTTCGTGTACCCACAACTGTAAACTGACTTTTGCCCCTGAACATCCCCACCACTTGAATGTATTCCAGCACTGCAAAGTTGATTAATGTGAAAAAGAAAATTTAATGATTATTCACTACATTAACAAAATAAAAGATCATTATGATAATCTCATTATATGCATACAACACATCCAGCAAAATTCAAGTTTATTCCAAGGACAATTCTTAGTAAATGAGGAGCTCAATGCTGGTACAAAATGCACTAGCCTTGACTACCTCAAGTTCTCGCGTGGTACACCTAAAATCTGTCAGATATTCCCAATGTCCCAACTTCACAACCTTCCCCTTAAACACCCGTTCCCTTCCCTGCACTCCCCACTTGACCAGCAGTATCACGCTTCCAAATAAACCAATGGCAGGTCCGTATTCTAGAGTCCTCCTCCCTCATGGGCACAAATTCTTACTGTGGTCTTTTTTTCTCCTGTCACTTTTCCACTGTCTTCTTTCCCCTTCGCGTTCTAATAACGCCCCAAATTATGTACCAGTGGTCTACAATATGGAGCAATGGTAAGGTGAATTTGTTACATGTAGCAATGGTGAGGGGAATCTGTTACTCACATGTACAATGGTGAGGTGAATTTGTTACATGTACAATGGTGAGGTGAATTTGTTATTCACTTGTACAATGGTGAGATGAATTTCTTACCTTTGCCCCCATCTCCACAAGTTGGTTTGTAAATGTCTTTGAATAATTTTCTGTTCCATTGGCTGACCACACTTCAACATAAGCCACTACATCTGAAAACAAACAAGGTGTTAGCATGAAATATACTGAAATTACATCCTCCCTTGCCCAAGTATTTCAATTTATTTCTCTTGTTATAATTACACTAAATTTTAAAAAAATTCTTCAATTACAAGCCTATTCAAAATAGCATTTGTGCTATTATAGTTCTTACAAATTTCAAGCAAAGGACATCCTTAGTCATACACATGACACCGTTTACATTATGAACACTCAATGCTCCTCCCTAATCCCCAAACCAGGTTTAACTTTCACAGGGCCAGAGTCTGTTTTCTGGAAAGGACCGGACAGAAAATATTCCAGACTCAGGAGCAGAGCTGTATTCCAATAAAACTTTACAAACAACGAAGTTTGAATTTGATAGTTTTCGTCTGTCATCTTTCTCTACACCTCTTACCCCCAACCATTTAAAAAAGTAAGGAGCAACCACGGCTTGCAGCCCTGCAAGAACAGGCCGCAGCAGACCTGGGCCGGGGCAGGCAGCGAGCAGACCCGGCTCCAGCGGCTTCTCTTCAAGACCTAATGCTGAGGAAGGAGGCGCGGGGTGCCCTTCTCACAAGGTGAGCCACGCAGGAGGGACGTCAGGTGGACATCACAGAAATACCCACGTGAGAACTGTCTTCTCTTCCGACGCTAAGCAGGCAGGGCCCTTCCGCAGACCCCACACGCATCGCCCCTTCTCCCAACCGGCCCGCCTGCTGCTCCCACGCCCCTGGGGTTCGGGGCCCAGGTGCCCACCCAGGTGCCCTCCCGGGTCAGGAGCAGGCCCGGCGCCCCCATCACGGGCGCGGACTGGCTCTGCGCGGGGCGGGGTGGAGGAGGGAGCGCCCGCACCCTCCGTGCCTCGGTTTCCCCGCCTGCGAAGTGCGGTGAGGCCGAGCTGCTGGCCACAGCGTCACCCCGCATCGGCCCACAAGGCCTGAGCCGAACCCCTGGGCCGCGTGTTCGCCAGAATGACAGCGACGCACGTGGCCGCGGACCGCTTTTCCCACCTCCAGTCCCGGCGACCCTGCAGCCACCGGCCCGCCCCGCGCGGCCCCGGGGAGCGGGACGCCAATGCCCGCGGGGCTGGGGGCGGCCCGCCGCCCGGGACTCGGGGTCAGCACCGCCCGCCCCGCGCCACGTCTCGAACCCGGGACAGCCCCACACAGCCCCGGGGGCCGGGAGCTCCCCGCCGGCCGCCCCCGCCGCCGCCCGGAGCACCCGCCTCACCTTTCAGGACCGAGCCCCGCGGGGCCGCGGGAGCCGCCATGAGGGGGGCCGGGAGCCGCACCGCCGACCGCGCCGAGCCCGACCCGGCAGCGCCGCGGCGGCACCGCGCATGCGCCGCTCAGTCGGCGGATCCGCTCTCGGGCCGGTCTCCGCCGCGGCCGAGGGGGAAGCGGGGCCCGGGGCTGGGCGGTTCCTGCGCTGGCCGGACGCCCCTCTCGCGTCCCCGCGGGTCCGTGTCCCGCTCCGCGAGGCCTCCGCTCGGTCCTCTCGTCCGTTAGGCGGGCAGGCGGCCCCTAAGGTCCGAGCCGAAGCCCTCGGTGCCCGAAGGCGACGCGGGCGCTCTCGGCGCCGCACCGGGGCCCACCTGGGAGCGGGCGCGGGAGGGAGGGAGGGCGCCGTCCGCTCAGGACCCCGGGGCCGCGGAGTAACCGCCTAGAGCGCGCCTCGCCTCGCCTCGCCTCGGTGCCCCGCGCTCCCCGGCGCCGCTCTGGCGTCCGCGCGCGGAATGGCTGCCCGGGACGCCGGCGCGAGTGGGGACGCCGGGCGGGCGCCCCTGGCAACCAGCGCCGCAGCTCGCGAGTCCCGGCTGCCGGCTGCGCGCTCCGAGGCCGCGCTGCGTCCCCGCGCTCTGCCGACCGGCTTCAAACCGCCCGCGCGGCCCCGCCCACCCCGCGCAGGACGCAGACGCGGCCACGCCCACCCCGCGCAGGGCGCAGGCGCAGCCCCGCCCCCGAGGCTCTGCGCAGGCGCACGCCGGGAGCACGCGCCCGGCGCGTCCAATGGGGAGGGCGCCCCTGAGCGTGTCCGCCGGGCTCGCCTCGGGGCAGGGAGGGTCTGGCTGTCAAACCGCTGTCCTTCCTTCCACACACTTTCTCTGAGACCCTGGATCCTTGTCTTCTGCACTTAGGAAAGACGCAAGCCGAAACCGGTGTGGCTCAGTGGTAGAGCTTCAGCCTACGGACTGAAAGGTCCCAGGTTGGATTCCGGTCAGGGGCATGTACCTTGGTTGCGGGCACATCCCTGGTAGGGGGTGTGCAAGAGGCAGCTGGTCGATGATTCTCTCTCATCGATGTTTCTAACTCTCTATCCCTCTCCCTTCCTCTCTGTTAAAAAATCAATAAAATAATACAAAAAAATGGGGAGGGCAGATGGGAAATGTCTGTAATGCCACTGTAATGCCATCAACAATAAAAAATGTATTAAAGCCGAGACCGGTTTGGCTCAGTGGATGGAGCGTTGGCCTGCGGACTGGAAGGTCCCAGGTTCCATTTCGGTCAAGAGCATGTACCTTGGTTGCAGGCACATCCCCAGTAGCGGGCATGCAAGGGGCAGCTGATCAATTACTCTCTCTCATCGATGTTTCTAACTCTCTACTCTGTATCTCTCTCCCTTCTCTCTGTAAAAAATCAATAAAATGTATTTTTTTAAAATGTATTAAAAACCCCACTTTCATTCCTAGGGCTCGCAGTACCAACTTTCGGTCGGTCGTGCAGATTAAACACTCCATTCCTCAGTGGAAGTCACAACCTGAAGAGTCAAAGGGCCCCTTGTGACCTGGGAGCCAGAGGGCAGGCTCCGTCTGGAATCAGCTGGATGGACCTGGTGTGGAGACTGGGCTCCAGATACCTCATAGCCAATCATCTATGAGCTATATTGATGAGCTACTACCGGCCCTGGCCCCCTCGAGCTTCCCCCGCCCCCCCCTGCGAACTTCCTCTTCCCCTAAGGGGGCCTTAAAGACAGTGACAGTTATGGCTTACTGGTGTATTATCAGTCAATCCTTCCTAGGAAGTGAGTGCGTTACCTTACGTATATGTTTCCCTCCTGGATTCTCACTAAAATTCTGTTACTGTAGAGGTATTTATAGTGGTAACCTGGAAACTAATTGCCTCCGTCTTGCTGCCTCCCCCAGTGCCCTGATACCGTTTCCCGAAAATAAGACAGTGTCTTATATTAATTTTTCTCCCAAAGACGCACTAGGTCTTATTTTCAGGGGATGTCTTATTTTTCCATGAAGAAGAATACGGTACACATTTATTGTTAAATGAAAATAAAGGAAATTTATTACCTGTATACGGTACGGTAGTACAGTAGTTGTCAACACAAACCAGACAAACTGTGAATCCTACAGTATCAAGAATTTACTCATTTATTCAATGATAATCATGTCATCATCTTCTGGAACATCATCATAACAATCCAATTCCTGAATTTCCTGGTGAATTTCTTGTGATTCCATTTCTTTCAGAATCAGTGGACCAAATCTCTCATGTTGAGCCTAGGGGGGCCTTATTTTGGGGGGGATGCCTTATATTTCATTCAGAAGGAAACCTGTAAGTAGGTCTTATTTTCGGAGGATGTCTTATTTTCGGGGAAACATGGTAGTTTAGCAAGGTTTTCTCTCGTTTCGCGTGATATCATGTGATGCTCACAACAGCCCTATTGCGTAGAAGATGTAATTATAGGCATCATACATAGAGCTATTATACAAGCATATAAACATGACCTTATGACACTCTTAAGCAACAGAAATGGGACCAAGTATATTTTATTTTTATTTTTTAAAAATATATTTTATTAATTTTGTACAGAGAGGAAGGGAGAGAGATAGTCATCGATCAACTGCCTCTTGCACACCTCCCACTGGAGATATGCCCACAACCAAGGTACATGTCCTTGACCGGAATTGAACCAGGACCCTTCAGTCCCCAAGCCGATGCTCTATCCATTAAGCCAAACTGGTCTCAGCCCAAGTATATTTTAAAGGTCTGATTGGCTTGCCAGAAGAATTCACTGGTGAGTTGGCACCCCATCCAGCCAGCAGGAAGGAGCTCTGGAGGCTATGGACTGGGGAAGGCTTTTATTTTTAAAATATATTTTATTGATTTTTTTACAGAGAGGAAGGGAGAAGGATAGAGAGTTAGAAACACCGATGAGAGAGAAACATCGATCAGCTGCCTCCTGCACACCTCCTACTGGGGATGTGCCTGCAACCAAGGTACATGCCTTTGACTAGAATTGAACCCAGAAGCTCTATTAAAAGCACAGAGGGGGTGGGATCAGGAAATCCCACTTTTTAGAAAGGATTATGTCTGGTAAGTCACCCTTCTTGGGAGACAGTTGCGGCTGTTAGGAGGATTTAAATTTAAATTTTGGATATTAACACCTCCTTGATGCCTACCAGGAGATGCCAAATTGGTGGGCTAAGCTTACTACAATCCTGGGAAGGCTAGAACTAGAATGAAGTCTTGGTTTGCAGATGTGGGGCTTAGCATAAGTGACTGTATTTTGGGCCTGGTGCACGAAATTTGTCTCTGCGCCGCACACACAGTGTCAAGTCCCTGCTTACCCATGCACGCCTCATATGAAGCCCCGCCCACCCGAGTGCCTCCTGGTGTTGGGTTGTTACGGCGTGAGGGCATCAACATAGGCTTTTATTATATAGGATTGTTACTGAATTTATTGGGGTGACATTGGCTAATAAAATCACATAGGTTTTAAGAGTACAGTTCTATCACACATCACCTATATTTGTATGTGTTCACCACCCCAAGTCAAGGCTCCTTCCATCACCATTTATCCCTCTCATGCCCTCTGGTAATCACTATACTGTTGTCTGTGTCTAGGAGGTTGCTTGTTTGTTTGTTTGTTGTTTTGCTCAGTCCTTTCACCTTTATCTCCCATCCCTGCAACTCTCCTCCCCTCTGACAGCTGTCAGTCTGCCCTCTGTATCTGTCGGTTTCTATTTTATTTGTTGGTTTATTTTGTTCCTTAGGGTCCCCATATAAGTGAAATCATATAGTACTTGTCTTTCTCTCATGTAGTACACAATGCTTTCCAGGCCCACCCCTTCTGTCCCAAAGGTTTCCTTTCTTTTTATGGCCAAGTAGCACTCCGTTGTGTAAATGCACCACAGCTTTTTTATCTACTCATCCAACGATGGGCACTTGGGCTGCTTCCATTGCTTGACAAAATAATGCTGCAATGGACAAGAGGGTGCACATTGTCTTTCAAGTTAGTGTTTCAGGTTTCTGCGAATACTTTCCCAGAAGTGGAATCACTGGGTCGTGAGGCAGTTTTGTGTTTAATTTTTGAGGAAACGCCATACTGCTTTCCACAGTGGCTGCACCAGTCATAATTTTTAATGGCGTGTAGCCAGTCTGCATTCCCACCAACAGTGCACAAGGGTTCCCTTTTCTCCACATCCTCACCAGCACTTGTTGTTTGTTGATTTACTGATGATAGCCATTCTGACAGGTGTGAGGTGAAATCTCATTGTGGTTTTAATTTGCATCTCTCTGCTGATTCGTGACATTGATCATCTTTCCATATGTCTATTGGCCTTCTGTATGCCCTCTTTGGAAGAGTAGTCAGGTCCTTGGCCCATATTTCAAATTGGATTTTTTTGGGGGGATGTTGAGTTTTATAAGTTCTTTGTAAATCTCAATATCTTGGACATTAACACCTTATCAGATGTATTGTCGGCGAATATGTTCTCCCATTCAGTGGGCAGTTTTTCATTTTGTGGATTCTTTCCTTTGCTGGGCAGAAACATTTTAGCTTGATGTAGTCCCATTTGTTTATTTTTTTCTTTTGTTTCCCTCACCTGAGGTGATATAGCAGAAAACATATTGCTATGAGAAACGTCTGAGATTTTACTGCCTCTGGTTTCTCCTAGGATTTTTATGGTTTCATGTCTAACATTAAAGCTGTTGGTTTTTCTTAACTGAACCACAAGAGGGGCTGCCTTGACAAGCCCTACAAACTCATTAACTGAAAGTAGCCACACAGGATGCGTTAAGCATAAAAATTCCTCACTCAGTGGGTAATGATCGGACTCCACATCCTGAAGCCAACATAATAGGTTAAATTTTACCTGAGCAAGCCCGGCCCTTTGTTTTTGTATGCAATGGAACCTCGATTCTCAAACCTAATTCATTCGGGAAGGCTGATCAAGAAGGGATTTGTTTGAAAACCGAAACATTTTTCCCCATTAGAAATAATGTAAGTCTGGCCAGTGTGGTTCAGTGGTTGAGCATC